ATGAGTGAAGGCTGCCTTTAGAAGGTCCAAGGGGGGGGGGGGTATAAGGTTGTTTAAATAGGGAACAAACCCTAACTTTTAGGGTTTATGGCATGAGCTAGTATGCCTTGCATACCACATGTACGCCCAACATACTAGGATGAGCCCCGCGATTCTAAGTCCTAAACAGGTACGCTGCGTGTACCACTTGTACACCCAACGTACGAGCTGAAATGCCAAAAATTCTTGTTACAAGGGCCAAAGATGAAAATACCTGAAAACCGAATGTTACAATTCTCCCCCACTATAATCAGACTTCGCCCACGAAGTCAGCCTCGGAAAACAGATCAGGGTAGTGCTTGTGCATCTGAGTCTTGGGCTCCCTAGTATGTATGCTTATCTAATGGACTAAGATTAAAATCATGAATTATAATATGGTTACGTAGTATGTATTCTATTTTGTAATACTCCTTACAAACACAACACAAAACATAGTGACTGAAATCAAAACTATTAATCTAATTAATTGCTATCAATAGGCAAAATGAACTAAAGAATGATTACAAAAAGAGATAATAACTTGAAAGGGTAACAAATTTTCAATTTTGTTTACATTTAGTTATTGAATTTTTTTTCGAACTTGAATTACCTTTGAATTATTTGAAATTGCTCACATTTTACCTTTATAACAGATCATAAAGGTAAAATATGAACAAATTTAAATAATTCAAGGATAAATCAAAAGTGAAAAAAAAAATTCAGAGTAAATATAAACAAAATTGAAAATTTTACCTTTATAAGTCATTATCCAATAAAAAATATATCAAATGCTAAATAACCGAGTCAGCCCTATCTAATTGCAGTGTCAAAGGCACTCTGAATTTGATCTAGTTATACAGGACTCACAACATATCAAGCAGAACTAGAGCTTTTTAGGTCAAGTTATCCGATCCGGGCGTAGTGCAACGTGCACCGGTACACTTCGAACTGCGAACCCCCATATTGCGCATATATAAGATATAAAAACTACGAGGCAAACCCCAAATGCATCATCATATTATACCAGAATCAAAATGCAAACGCCACACACTCCCCTCGACACCTCAATGGCCGATGATGATACTCCACTTCAAAACAACCCTCAAGATTTTGGAAAATCGCTTCATGGGTAATCCCTCTTCGTATTACTTCTCCTCTTCGTTTTCGCTTCCACGTTGAATTTGTTCGATGATTCCCAATCTTATGTTTGTTGTTTTTTTTTATATCTTTTCGGATTGTTTTGACGACGATGATCGGAACGCTAGGTGCAATCATTACCGGAGAAGATGCAAAATTCGTGCTCCGTGTTGTAATCAGATATTTTTCTGCCGTCATTGTCACAACGAAGCCACGGTTCGCCCTTTCTCCCCTGTTTACGAATCTTCAACAATACTTCAAATCATTTGATAGGGAGAAATCTTTAGCTAATTGACGTGTTTTGCATTTTGCGATATGTATAGAGCGCGTTGACAAACCCTAAGGAGCGCCATGAAATTGTTCGGCACGACGTTAAACAAGTACTCTTTTTTTTTCTTTGACGAAATATTACGTTTCCGTGCATTAATCATTGTCTTTGAATTGATACGATGAGGTAATCGGTTCATTCGTTGGTGGTTCCAGGTTATATGTGCAATTTGCAATACTGAACAGCAGGTTCGTATTCAAGTTATGAGCAACCTAATGGCGATCATCAAATTTCAGAAAACTTACTTTCCGCCATCACCTAATAACAATCATTCCTATGAATATGATAGGTTGCTCACGTCTGCACCAACTGTGGAGTGAAAATGGGGGAATACTTCTGTGGAATTTGCAAGTTCTATGATGATGATGTAAGAACTGCCTGCCTTTCATTCTGTTTTATAGCACTAAGAGTTACTTCATAACGAAGGTCTCTGAAGGTTTGGACTATATGCTAACTTCTGTATATTTGTGGCCTTGTGATTCAGATTTCAAAGGAACAGTTCCATTGCCATGACTGTGGAATATGTAGGTTAGTATGTAAGAAAAGTTGTGGGTTTTGGAATTATATATGTGGATTTTTTTTTTTAAATAAGCTGATGCTAGAATTATAAATCACTACAGAGTTGGAGGTGGTGCGAAATTCTTCCATTGCCAAAAGTGTGGTAAGTGGTAATGCTTTCAACATTTTTTCCTGCCTTTCCAATCACTTTAGGGGGTGTTTGGCTTGCCAAATTCCGTGGGATTTGGCCGGAATTGGAATTCAATTCCATTCCATTCCGATCCTAGGTCTGGTTGCAACTTGCAAATGAGTGTGGACTTGAATTATGTTGAAATTCACAAAAATCCTTTGACTTATGGATTTCAATTTTCAGTATTCCACACTAAAACCCATGGCATTTTTCCTTTTAAAAAAATACATTGTTACTGTTTTAACCCTAGACTTTCAGAAGTAAATACCTCTCTCACTTCAAGAAGTAAATACCCATTCGATTAGTCACTGCTACCCAAACGTGTTAAGTAAATACCTATACCCGGTGTAATCTTGCTAGACTTTGAAGCAATAGTAACAGTTAAAATATGGTTTAATGCATAGAATAACAACCAAAATTTTCAAAATTTGAAAATTACCAAGATAAAGATTAAAATTTATAAATAGTTTCATTCAGGGTAACATTGCCAAAGTTGGTTGGTTGTCATTCTTGATCTTAACCCGGACCTAATCAACTGCAAAGAATGTCATTCAACTTGGTCTATATTACCCTAAATGACTCTTTTTGCAAAGTTGAAGCCTCTTTTTTGTTGATTTTCAAACTTGAGTTACCAAATTAGAAAGTAGGACAAAGCTGGTTGCCTTTTTGAACAATTAATAAGCCTCATTTGTTTTGTGGTCCTCACCATACAAGTTGCAAAATTGCTGTTGGTTTTCCTACAACCACAAGTCACACAAACAAATCTTGAATCTTGATTCTTGACTATTTTATTAGGATCTTGCTATGATGTAACGTTGCGTGATAATCATGCATGTGTGGAGAACTCTATGAAAAACCACTGCCCTATATGTTATGAGGTCTGCTATCTTTATTAAAATTGTGTATTATTCTAGTTTTTAAATATATATATATTTTTAACATGAATGTTTTTTTTTTTTTTTTTTTTTTTTTTTTGTAGTTTCTTTTTGACTCTATCAAGGGCGCAACAATCATGAATTGTGGACACACGATGCACATGGATTGCTACAAGGAGATGATCAGCCAAAATCAGTTAGTTTATTTACATGTGAATTTTCCTATAAATGATTCCTGGTGATAAATTGTTGTTTGTTTTGCAGATATCGTTGTCCCATTTGCTCAAAAGCGGTGTGTGATATGTCTAGAACCTGGCGAAGATTAGATCAGGAGGTATACAATTACAAATTGATTAAAATAAAATAAAATAATTT